ACGTCATCTCAAGGCACTTTACAGTTCAACCAGATCATACAGTCAAACTGATGCAAATTTTTTTCTTTCTAAGGAAATCAGTTGATTGCATCAACACTCACTGACTCAAAGGCAATCCCTCACACCAAGCATGCTTGTAGAGAAAGTGGGGAGAAAAAACTCAATTTAAACAGGAAGAAACCGCCAAAAGAACCAGACTCAGTGTGAGCGGCCATTTGCTGAGGCTGACTGGGTTTAAGGAGACAGAAGCAGAGATACAAAAGGCAACTGTCAACCATCTCCGCAGCCAGGCAGATCCGAGCCAGGTCCCATGTCATAGGATGAAGAGAGCACATCCAGCCAGTCACAGCCAGAGAAACAGGGCTAAACTGAAAAACAGGCCAAGCTCCATTATCTATAAACAAAGATGCTGATGGCAGCAGCACAGCTGATATTTCTATCCAGGAAAGCCAAACAGGAAATGACCAGATTAAGCTACTACGAGAAAAAGCAGAGAGAGCATAACATTAGGGATTGAACTAACAAATTTTGCAGAGTGGGGGAATTGAGATGAATGAAACAGAATGATGAAAAAAGGGTCCCTATGTCCTCCAGCAGTCTAAGCCTTTAGCAGCATAACTATAGAAATAGCTCTGGATACCCTGAGCACACAACTCATTGTTTTACACTCAGTTTCCAAATGATCAAAACACTCCTAGCAAAACTATACTCATATATAGCTATATTTTACACTATTTTGCCAAGTGTCTGGCACACTGTCACATGTTGAAACTGTTTTAGATATTTAGCTCACATTGCAATCAGCCTAAGCACTATAAATAAGCCACAGGCGAGCTGTCTGTATGGAGTTCAATGGAGGGAGCAAGAAGAGTAAGAATTAGTGAAGGCAGAGTAATAGGATGTGGAAGTGAAGAAGTAGGAGGAAGAGGAGACCAGATACATCTTCATATGGGAAAACATTTGTTTCCATAGGGCTGCTTTCGTCCACAACTGGTTAACAGATCACCCACTCTACAGTGCAAGTGCACTCAACCTCCCGCCATACTCTCCATTCTTAAATCCAACTGAAGAGTTCTTCTCTGCCTGGCAGTGGAAGGTCTATGACCGTCATCCCCATCAATGCAGAGCCCTTTTACAGGCAATGGATGAGGCATAAGGGGCTAATGGCGAGGCATCATGTCAGGCCTGGATACAGAGATATTTTCCCCGGTGCCTTTGAGGACACTGCATGTGATGTGGATGAATTCTTGTGGCTGGACCCAGAGAGATGACACAATGTCAACTGATTTTTTTTTTTTTCTTAGAGATTTTGTTTTTTGACTTGGAAAAAACACTTGTGTTTGTTTTAATGTGTGTAAATAAACACCAATACTTGAAGTTTGGATCCTGTATGTTTTGGATCCCTTTATGTTTACAGAACTATGACAAAATTGTGACCTCAAACTGACATAGCCTACGTATCTTGTGCACAGAGAAAGCAAAAACCAGATGTGTTTTTATTTATACCATCAGTGTGTAGTTGGCACAATGCATGCTTATTAATATAAATGGCTTGTGTTAACTGTCTGATACAAAAATAAAAATTTTATGAAGGTTTGAAGAGTTAAGCAAGGTTTATTAGCTTTTGTAACACAACTATAATATCTTGGTTATTTGGTGAAAGGTTTTCTTATTTGTATGCAGAGTTTTGCAAAAATTCCCAATAGTAACAAAAAATGTGCTTAGCCATCAGAAAAAAACTATAAGCAGCAACAAAACAATTGGATTGCCAAACAAGCAGTGTTCTTCCTACTGCCAACAAGCTTTCACTGTTATTACATAAATAAATCTATTTTGGGGTTTTTATGTGATTAAATAAAGTATATTGCAAGGTTTCTCTGGAAGCAGTGGCGTCAGAAGCTTTTGAAATGAAGGATGGACCCAGTGGCTGGGGAAGGAGAGGCTACAGTGCAGTTTAACAGCTTTTTCTCTCTGTCCACTAAAGCTCATAGTGGCTTTATTGGTCTGTTTAGGTTTGAATTTTGGGGAAAACTCTTTAAAAGCATCTTAAGCCAACCAATGAGTTCATAGAAATCAATGCAAGTGGACATGAACTACTACCAAAAAGAGTAAAATTTATTAATGATGTGTAAATGTCCACCACTCCATAGTAAAAAGTCTTTCTGCAGCATTCATTGTATGTCTATTAAAAATAAAAAATAGT